TCAATGTGGAATGTATGTGCAAAATAAAAATGAAACGTATTATATGCAAAATATTGTTGACAATATGATAGTAATATACTATATAGTGCAGTAAAAACAATAAACAAAACAACAAGGAAAAACATGGAGTTTGGCGACAAAGAGCAGCGCTTTTTTATTTTTAAAATTAATTATTATTCATATTTGAATTGAAATGAGCAGCACAATTGGACAAAAGAAGAAACTAGAGCATTACTGCTTTCTTATCAAAGCAGAAAAGCGTAATTCCAGAACTATAGGCGTAAGAAATACATAATGCAGGACGTCGTGTTTGATTTAGAGACGCATCGGATTATAAAATGTGATTAATAAAAAGCTATTTTATATCTAAAAATTGGTAAAAAATTCCATAAAAAAGTTTCCATAAAATTCCCAATTATTTATGTTGATGCATTTCATCCCCTGATCTTAATGCACTTAAACTAGTATTTAAAAGGAAAGGAAGAGTCATTTTCACTGTTGCTTGATGATTCTGTTAAAATCTTTACCGTACTACGAAATTAAAGTTAAGTTTTAAAGTAAATAATAAACAAAAACTTACATTTAATAATTCAGATATTTCAGTAGATTTAAAATTTTTTTGATTTTTTATTTTTTATATATACAAATTTATCAATTATTCTTTTAGATAAGAACACTCACACAATTAAAACAAAATTTTGTAAACAAATACAGCTGACATGATTGATGCATTGCCAATTACTTTCACATGTGATCCGTATCGTTTCAATAAAGAAGATCCAAATCATTAGGTCTTTTCGGTGGCATAATGATCTGAGCTGTCCGAAATGTACGCAAGACAACAACACTATTTTCTCTACCTTGGCCAGTACAGGTATACTGGCCAAACACAATTATTAAAGAAAATACAAAAAAATTAATAGGGCTAATCACGATTTCATAAAACGATATGAATAACCGATTAACATAGTAACAGGGTTACTATGGTTACGGAGTTGCCTCGTCACTTGAGTATTGATCCTCTTAAGATACTTAAGATTGAGAATATACCTTAAAATTAATCAAAATTAGGCCACATAAATTCTTCGTAAGTTAATTAAAATATGATTTATAAATTCTTTTGACTTTTATGTGTGAACGTAATCGGTTCAAAAAGGTTTCCTTGAAATTGTATTTTGGGTTTTGGAAACTGAAAAAAATAGCACGGAAACATTTTTTTATCCAAAAATAACGATTAAATGCGATAATTTTTACGACTGTTTTTCAACTAAAAAATTTAAAACAATTTTTAAATAGAATGATTGTGTCTTTAATTATATTATTTATTAGAAACTTTTATAAAACCTGAAGTTGTTTTAATCTCTTCTATATATTTGACTTTTGTAAAATATATGTATTTAATAATCCAATAATAACTAGGATGTATACATGCTCTACAAAAGTTGATATTGATTGAAATTTATATTTTATTATGTATTTTTATTTTTTGGTTTAATTTATAAAATTAAAAGCTTCTAGTCCCATATACGGTTTTGCAAACATCAATTCTCTCAAAAAACCAAAAATGATTGCAATTGCGAAGAATGCAGATATTTAGCAACTGAGTATTTTCCATTTATGTATATGAATGTGTTAACTATTTATACGTGATATATTCATTAAATAATTATTGTTTATAATTATTTATTTGTTTTATTTTTTTCAAGATTCAAGTTCCAATATATGTATTGCGAGCGGAACATACAGTGGCTGCAGTATTATTAAAATGTAGGAACAACGTGTTAACATATTCGAATTAAACTGAAAATTGTGACTGAATTAAATATTATTTATCTTCTGGTTTATAAACAATTACAGATGTTTTGACTATTTACTTTTCAACTTCTGATCATTATTTTGTTATAAATATATATTTACAACAAGTTTCACATAAATGCAGGAATTAATTCCGTGGGTCAAGAAATTAAAAAAAGAATAATTATACTTAGATTATTAAAAAATGTTTAAAAGCCATTATATTTAAAACATTTATCTGTTCTGATTTAGTCTCTAGGATTCATTTACAAGTTCAGCCCATAATTGAACTTTGCACATATGAACTGTCTAAGCTGAAATCAACTTGATTTTCTAGAATTCACAATTTATCACATCTCCACATTTTTTGACTACTTTCACAAAATATTTACTTTGCACATAGTATGAGGCCTGTCCCACGAGTTAAGGCTTAGTATGACGATAGGTGAAACGGTGTACTTTGTTCTTATCAAATACGCAGGTTCATAAATTTGACAATCAAATTTTAATGATTAGTCGTATGAATTGATAATTTTGCTTTTTGATTTCAGATGTCAGTTTAAAATATTTGACAACTTAAATTACTAACAAAACTCTCGTGTGACTCCAGTATAATCTAATCAGAAATTTTACAATTTCTTATTTAGGCCGTGTGCGAGTTTGAGTAAAATGAGGTAAAGTAAATAGAAATTTTGTAGGGCTTTTTTTGCACTGCACTTATTTAAGTATTTATTTATTTATTTGTTGCACTTATAGATTAGTTTTGGTTAAATGTTTCAAATTTATTTACTTATTTATCAAATTCATCTAATTTTTATCTAATTTACCCTACTTGAAATTCTGGTAGATACCAACATTCGGTGTCATACCGACAAATTTTACTATTTCCTTTAATTTACCATCAATTTACTCGAACTCGCACACGGCCTTATTGTCACTTTGCAAATTTTTTTTTTTAGTTAAAAACATAAACACTGCTCTTTTTCTCACTAAATATGTGATAGCAACGAAAACCCAGGTTGATGCAATTAATAAATAGAAAGTAGACTATGCATGAAATAATAGGGATTTATTTGATTGAAGATAATTCGTGGAAATTCGGAGATATATAACGATTTTATAGCACCGTTCAGATGACAATCACATTCAGTAAATGTTTGAAATACTTATTGAAGATCTACGAACTTCAGGCGTACTAATAAAAGAACAAATATAATATTAAATGTGTCAATAATATTAATCGAATATAGTATTCTGCATGTATAATTCTAAGCAGTTCTAAAAAGTTATAAATATAATATTGAGTACAAGTAAAATAGTGCCAATTTGTCTATGGCTACAACTATTGCATAATTAACTACGAAAAAATTAGTTGTTATAAGAAAAAAATATCGCAACTAAAATGAAAATAATTACAAACTCTGCAGCTGTAAACACTTGAGAGTTGTTTAATAGAATACGCGAATAAACAACTTAGACTCAGGCAGATGGCAGTGATGTCAGTTTTCAATTAACATAGTTTGCGTTGAAGTTGAAAGTCCCTTAAGAGCCACAGTTCATGACGAAGTCACAATAGATCGCGTCAATGTTTGCTTGCTAATATTTTTGGTGTGTGGGCAATAAAGTTCTGCAAGTTGTAATTCAAAATCTCAAAACCAACTCATAATGATTTCAACGTATTTTTATTAGCAACAAACGAGCCAATCTTCTTACACACGTGTACTTAATACTTTAGACGTGCGCTGAATATTCCATTGAAGCCTCCAAAAAAAAATAAATGTTAGTGGCGGCACTACATTTGGTTATGATAAACATTTGTACACAAAAAATTAAACTTCAAAAGGTTTTTATTTGAAACAAAAATATTGACTTCACGAAGCTCATTAGATAAAAATTTAAAAATTTATTATTTAAAATATCAGTTATTATTAAAAAAAATTATGTATTTGGAAATGTCATATTCCTAAACCGCATGAGAATTAAAATATCTTCAAAGTTGCATATGCTATGGAATTTGCAAACGCATTCAGTGCTCTCATATCGATTTTTTCAAGACCAGGGTCTTATTTAATTAAATCTGATAATTAAAATTGTTTTCAAAATTTTAAAACATCAAGTATAAAATCTTTAACTAAGCATTGGTAATATGCATATATTAATATGAAGAAGAGAAATGTGGATAAAAATTTGTCCACATTTATAGTAAAGAAGAACGCATGAAAAATTTATTTAATATTTCCCTATTGCTATTTTTTTACAAATTTACAAAAATTATTTTAATATCTTCCTAGACAATAAACATTGAGATGCTATTTTAGTACACATATTGTGATTTGTATACACAATGATCTTTATCGTAATATTCTGAGCTTAATACACGAACTATAGAAGCGTTAGCCACATCTGTGATAATGAAGGATTTCACTCTCTGTAAAGAAATTTTTAGTAAAGTTTGAAGAAAACGCAATTCTGTAAAAGTTTCGAAAAATTTATTAAAACATTTTAGTGTATTGTTGATCCCGAATGACACTATTTTGAATAAATAACAATAAAAAAGCAAAATAATATCAATTTAATACTTTCTTGAAACTAGTTCATCTGGATCTTTGGATTCTTGATCTTTTTAGTACATTATATTCAATTTACATATACATATATAACAACTATTTGAACTATCGAAAGATAAGAGCATAACGTTACCTTTATTTGGTAAACTATTTAGAACATTCATCACAATTTCTAAAATAAGTTCAATAATTTACATAATACATAATAAGAAATAATTTGCTTAAAAGGTTTCATTTCTTTTAAAGCCCAGTGTTTGCTTATCATATAAAATACTCAGTGCCGCTGCTCTGGCGCTTAAGGGATTGGTAATCACATTGTCTTCGCCGGACTTAAGTGTTTACACCAAGTTGTGATTACCTCAAATAGAAAGTTTCTGGTTCTTTATTCATTTTTTTTTATAAAAAAACTAAAAACAGAAATTAATTGAAGAAATTGTAGTTCGGGTTTTTTTTATTTTTATTTCAATATTTTTTATTTTCATATTTTTTATTTTTATATTTTTTATTTTTATATTTTTTATTTTTATTTCTAATTTTAGGTATTATTAGTTTTTTTTGTACAGATTAAAATAAATATATAGAATAAAATATGTTTACATAAAATATATAATATATAAATATATAAAATATATGTAGATTTACTCATAATTTTCAGTTTGTTTGATACAAATAGTTTCGTTATTGCGATTTCCTCTAAAATAGGCTCCAGTATTCCTTCCATCATCAAATTTTTTTTGTACTTACAGTAAATAATATTAATTAATTAAAAATAATTTATATTTTACAAAATTAATTTAATAATTTACTCACCATATAATTTAATTTATAATTTTTCAGTGTTTTTCTTCACGTACTCATATTATGTAATATATACTAAAATATTACATATTTTATATATATATATATATATATTAATTAATATTAATTAAATCCGATTAACTGCTTCTTAATCTATTTATATATTAAAATTACCTTCATCAATAGAATTGAAGCAATCGTTAATTTTTAGGGACATCATTTTGTTCATTTTATTCAAATAAATTTTAATTTTTTCTTTGTAGAACTAAAAATAAATTAAATAATTTATTGTAATTAAATTGTAAATTTGAAGAAATAATTTATAAAACACACTTTTCGGTAAACATACTTTTATGTAATTTGCACAATACAATTAGAATTTGTTTCTAATTTGACAGGGTATCTGAAAAGGAAATCATTTTTTCTTTTATTCTATTCAAACCTTCAATAATTATTAATACCTTCAATAATTTAATAAAATTAAGTCTTCAGGTTTAAATCAAAGTAACACATATGTAGAAACATTACGAACAGCTGCAAAATATTGTATTTGAGAATAAATTGATATAATTTTTATTGAATTTAGAATAATAATTACTTTTCGCCATAAATAGAGCATTTTGGATTGGATTGGACAGCATTGGACGGAATGTTATCAGATAATGAATTCAGAAGGCAAATTTCTGTCAAAAATTAATTTTTTTTGTCAAGCATGTCACAATAAAAATTATTAAAATAAAAATTAGCTGAAACTATCTTATACTCACATTATTTTTACGTACTAGAAGTACGATTTTGCAATATATTAAGACGCCAAATAATAAGTGGCTAGCGTCACGGACTGGAAACTAGTTTTTTAATGCCACCAATATCTGGAGAATGTATTTGTTATCAACATTGAAGATCAATTAAGAATTCAAGTTGTACTCACAATTATCCACTCCTCCATAAGATGTTATTAATAGAAATTTTGACGGCGTTTCTGCCGTTTTTTGGTCGCTTTGCTCTTCTTAATGTAGTCAATTTTTTTTGTTGCAGATATTTTACGCTTCTGTTTTCGTCCACGTCGCTTCTTTTTTATCCTCTGACCGCAATGAGAACATGTCTGAACTTTCCTCACCCTTTTTTCAAAAGTATATTGTAATTTTTGATGGTCTGACATTTGACGCCATACGGAACCAGCCTGTTTCGCACTTTCTACAGGTGTTAGGTCTTTGTTGTAGCTTCTAAATTCCTTTAAAAACCCAAAGAAATTGCCACCCATATCGATCGAATGAGTAAAAAAAAATATTAAAATATATTTCAAATCTTCTGAGCAAAGAATTTGAATTTTGCTGTTTACTAATCGAAGAAAAAAATATATAAGAAAATTATTCAAACAATTTTTCACTTAATTTTTATGAATATTTTCAATGAAGATGTGATCAAAATTAAAATATTTAGTAGAACGATTTTGAGGATTTGCTTAACTTCAGACGATTATTTGCTTTGAAATTGGATTAGAAAGAAGTATGTGAACAACTTTTCGGGACAAATTTTTAACAGAATGACATGAATGAAGGTATAACTGAAGAAACTTTCATATAATAATATATTAGAACACAGAATATTAGGATAATTGTCATTGATTGAATGTTTTTTTAATTGTTACAAATATTTTTTTTTAATATTTGAAAGTGGTTTATAAATGACAAAAATTTTATTTTTTACAGATTGATTTGTAATAGATGATTTAATACTTTTTAAGTAGAACAAAAAATGTCTCGAGAAGGCAAAAGTCTCTCTCTTTGAAGAACGTGATACGAGTACATATGAATATGAATGCGTGATTTGAGTAATACTAATACATCTTTCTGACCTTTAATGAAAGGATTAAATTTCATAAAATTATTCTGGAGCATATTTCTCGAAAATAATTCTTATAAAGAAAAGTTTATAATTGCTAGTTTACCATCAACATAGCACGATCAAGATTCTCATATTGAGACTAAAATCTCTTGCTTTCAAATCATTAATGTATCAGGGAAAAATTTTGATTCCAAATAAGAAGTGCCGTTACCATAAATCGATTAGAAATGAATTTTTTGAAATTTATGGTGATGTGAAGTTGTAGACTAATAAATGTAAAGATAAAACAGCAATGAAGATACTAGATTTACAATAATGTTGTAAATTTTGCGATTTGAGGTATGACTAATGTACGTGCAGGCTAATAAAGGATAAAGAAATTATTTTATGTCCTATAAACAAAGACATTGGACTTCAGTCTTATATTTGTAGGCATATAATAATTTTATAAGCAACAATAATAATCTTTAGTACACGGGAACGTATTGTTTTGTATCAATTGATTGATTTATAAATAAATAAATTATAATTAATTGGCTTCCATCCAATTATTTTAAACAAACTTGTCTAATTTCGCCACTTAACTTAATTCTTTGTTCAGATAGCTAATATAAAAGTGACAAAAACTCTGTAATATGAAATAAATTACCAATAATCTAACGATTATAAAATATAGTTGATGATTTATTTACAAATAGCTTTTTAGGATTTAAATCTCACTTAACGAAATTCTATGTCAATATTAGAATGAATAAGTTTTCATCTCATGAAATCAATATAGATCCTCAATCACTACGGTTGGCCTCCAGCATTATTGAAATTATAGGCTGTCATTTAATCAAGAGAAACCTATTAATACAAAGTGGTATGTAATAGTATTTATCAATCTTAATTTATTGGGAATTATAGTTAAATCATAAAACTTTGTATTTTTAGTAAATAAACAATAATTTTATTTATTTATTTTATTAAAATTAACATTAAAATTAAGTCAACTAAAAATAAGGAACTGGACCGCTAGGTCCTTCTTCCTGAAAAAAAAAAATTTTTGATTTTTACACTCACTATTAGTTATTAAATTTTTTTTATATTTCTTATAAGATAATGTAATTAAAATAATTATATTATTATGTTGTGCCTAGTTGAGTCAGTCCACTTGAACACTTTTACTCTATATTAACTACGAGGTTTTTTCATAACCGCTCTGTACGCCTTAATTGAATTATTGTTTATCACTTCATCAGACTAAGCAGTAACTGAACTTAGATCTACACACCTCCCCGAGGAGTAACACAATCATTTCAAACTCAAATAAAATAAAATACTTTTTTTAATTTCAAAAAGTAGAAATTGGTCATATTTTTTATAGCTGTACACTTACAAGTATGTATCTCAATATATAAGATATTATTTCAGATATATCTCATTAAATTAAATATATTATCCTAAATTCAAAATAAATAAGACAAATTATTTAAGTTTTTATTTACTTGTGTTTATGATGGATAAATGAAGTACATATGTAAATATTTGAACTATTATCGATACAATACGTTACTACGGCCAAATTTATTTTAAAGCTATTTCTTATCTGGAAAGATACTTCAATGTCTATTAGAAATCTAATTTTTACTAATGCCTATTACATTGATTAATTTAAAATTTATACATTTTTAAAATAAACATGTTAAGGTTATGTGTATGGATCCATTAATATATGGAAATAAGTTTAAAGTTAAATTTACTTAATGGCTTCACTTAGGTGTTATTTTATCTTAATGTCAAGCACAAATATTTTGGCTTACAGACGTTCAAAGTATTTAGTTTCATTACTATGACTATATTTACGCTTATATATACGTGAAATAATTTATTATAAAATAATAAAATACTTTTATTTTATGCCCTCTTTTTTTAAACCTGATATATGTTATCATATAATTTAATTTCAATTTTTATTGATTAAGTGGAACGAATTTCTCTCAAACGACAATCAACTCCTCGTAAGGTAAAGTAAAAAACTTCAACGGGCAAAGTAGCGCTCATTAAGCGCTTCAAAATTCACGTTTTACACAACTTTGTGGTAGGTCAACAGATTTAAGCACACAAAGTAAGTCAATAAACTAAAATCATCCAGCGAATGTTACTGATTTCATAAGTCGAAAACATACAAACAAACAGACATACTCGCATTAACTTAGATAAACTTTCATTAGGGACTGCCTTCATGTAAAATAAATACGCTATCCCATTTGGGTTGTTGACACTTTAATTTTTTAACCTTTTTTTTAGATTTTGTAGAAACCAGCTTAAAAAATGAAGAAGTGTCTAAGAGTAAAACCTTAAAAAATATCAAGGTGCAAGTCAACGAAGCTATACGCCTCTAAGCCGCTGACAACCGCTAACTGAGTTAGCCAAAACGAAACTAAGTAAGTCGACAACAAATTTAGTGTTGACTTAGCCATTGAGTAAAAGTTGCTCATCGCAGTCAATTCACTCAAAATCATCCAAATTTGTTGTGTTTTCGCTCAATTTTTAACAAGTACAGTGAAGATGCGCTAAGACCGGTGAATCAAAACTAGTTCCTTATGAGTTAAGATTTATTAAACAAAATTTACACTGCAAAAATATTAACAATGTATTTACAACTGTTGAAAACATTAAATTTTAGAAATTACTATACCCTTCACACAAAAAAAGTTTTAAAAATCAAGATTTCTGTAACACATTAAAAAAACATCATAGACACCATGAAGTACATTGTGACCGAAAAGCTTTCGGAAATTCTCATTTAAAATTCGCGCGCTGTATATTTTTCGATATTTTAAGTTTATGTAGTTTGGCAGCACTGTCCTTAATTACTATGCCAAAAATGAGCGCGATCTGTCGGACAGTTCGTTTACGGCAGCTGTTGAAACCAGTTCACCTCAGTAGTGCGTTGCGAAAAAAACAATGGAAAAAAATATTGAACAAAGAGTTTGCATCAAATTTTGTTTTTCGAACGAAATTTCGTGTGCAGAATCGTTGCGAATGCTACAAAAGGCTTATGGGGAATCAGTTTTATCGAAAACTCAAGTTTATGAGTGGTACAAAGCCTTTCAGGACTGTCGTACGACCGTCGAAGACATGCCGCGTTCTGGACGACCTTCGACCTCTACCACCGACGAAAACATTGAAAAGGCAAAGGAAATCGTGTTCAAAAATCCTCATGTGAGTGTTAGAGAGATAGCACGAGAGCTAGGCATCGGTCGTGAGATGGCTCGTTTGATTTTGGTGGACAATTTGTGTATGCGACGTGTCAACGCCCGGCTTGTTCCGATTCACCTCAATTTGTTCAACATTATCAACGATTTTAAGGCCAAACATTCAATAAATACCATCGAACAGCCACCGTATTCACCTGATCTTGCACCGTGTGACTTTTTCCTGTTTCCCAACCTCAAATTACCACTCAGAGGAACGCGTTTTGAATCCATAGAAGACGTAAAACAGAATTCGCAGAGGGAACTCAAAGCCATACCGGAAAGCGCCTATAAAAAATGTTTTGATGATTGGAAGAAACGTTGGCATTTGTGTATCGCTTCTAATGGAGCATATTTTGAAGGAGATAAAATAAATATTGATGAAGATTAAGAATTTTGCGTTTTATTTATTTATTTCCGGAAACTTTTCGGTCACAATGTATAATATATTTCCTTAATCAGCTTGAGGAATTACACCCTACTCGTCTGTCAATTGAAATTAATCTTTCTGTTTTGAGCAATTCAAATGAAACTTTGCGCAGATACTTTTTGGAACAAGACTTCATTTCTCGAATTGACCGAATTGTAACCACTATATTCTATAGCCACATAAACTAAACAATCAGATATAAGTTTTCTCTATTTTGAATAGATATATTCAAATTTGGTACAGAATATTCTTGTAAGATAATGTACGAAATTTTATTAACATCAATTCAGATTCAGATATAGTTGTTATACAAGCCATGGATTCAGACGTATGTTCCGGTTACAAAAACTTTTTTGTTTTCTAATCTATGTATTTGAAGCTAAAGAATGAAAACTGTGTACTGTAAATAAATTAAATCACTTTAGACTTAGATATAGCTAGCATATAAACTGACGATTTAGGAACACATTTTTATTTTTCAATGTTTTCGTTTCTAGTTTAGAATTTAGGTATTTGCTATAGAAGCAAGTATTCATGGTGAACTGATGTCAATTGGCTTAGATTTATATATAGTTTAATAATAAATCGATGCTTCAGATTCAATTTATTTTATATTATGTGTACTGGCATCCACACCAAAACATTCCCCTAACTTTAATAGCTAACATTTTATAGTTATACATATTATATTATATATTTACTATTATATTTTATCATATATATATATTTAATTGTATATTTTATAATATATATTGTAGTATAAATAAGACCATAATGTGGATCCAAAATTATGTTTAAAATATATCTAAGCAAAACTTACATCTTTAATTGTTTGTTTA